GGACTTCGTGCATAAAATACAAACTTTCACTGTAAACTGATCATTCATAATTGGCTTACACCCCAGTATGGTTCAAAAGAGGCTTAAATGTAACATACATATCAAGAGAAAAGACATAAAAACAGCTCTTTAAACATATGAAAAGATGTTCAATCTCACTCAAAGCACTTTGAAACGCACTTAAATCTAAACCAATATATTTTTTCAGATTAGATCAAACAGGAAAACCCTTTGTGTAATCCTTTGTGTCGGCAAGTGTGTGGGAAAACAGATATTCTTAAACTTACTGACTACTGTGTAATGTTTACTAAAACAGGCTTTAAGAAAGGCAATTTGACAATACCTATCAAAAGTTTACTTAGCTTAATAGTTGCATTTACAGAAATATATCTGACAAATATATCACAAGGCTGTGACAAGATCTCTAGATCATTCCTTACAGCGCCATTTGCATTTGCAAATGATGGGAAACAAAATAAATAGGTATCAGTATAGACTGGAAAATAAATTATAGTATATTCATATACTGCAAAACCACGCAGTCTGTTGAGAAAGAGGTAGTTTCTTACGTATACACACAGAATTGTTTCATATGAATAAAGAAAAGTGAAAAATACATAGAATATTTAGCTTGTGCATAAAGTTGGGAAAAAAGAGCATATATTTATATATGTGTTTTTATACAGGCACACTATCTTTCTAGCAGTATACACAGGAAACGGATTACACTGGAATAGTAAATGGCTCCCTATGAGGAAGGAAAACAGATGGGAAGAGTTACACATAAATTGTATTATACACAGACACTTAAATGTATCTTACATTTTTTAAAAAGGCAGGACAGAAGTTTCATTTAAATATCCTCGCTTAACATAAGAAAATGCTCTGCATCACTTGCCATCAGGGAAATACAAATCAAAACCACAATACCACCTCACACCAGTGAGAATGATCAAAATTAACATGACAGGAAACAACAGGTGATGGAGAGGATGTGGAAAAAGGGGAACCCTCTGCCCTGTTGGTGGGAATGTGAACTGGTGCAGCCACTCTGGAAAACTGTGTGGAGGTTCCTCAAAGAGTTAAAAATAGAGCTGCCCTATGACCCAGCAATTGCACTGTTGGGGATTTACCCCAAAGATACAGATGCGGTGAAATGCCAGGACACCAGCACCCCGATGTTTATAGCAGCAATGTCCACAATAGCCAAACTGTGGAAGGAGCCTTGGTACCAATCAAAAGATGAATGAATGGATAAAGATGTGGTCTGTATATACAATGGGATATTACTCAGCCATTACAAACGACAAATACCCAACATTTGCTTCAACATGGATGGAACTGGAGAGTATTATGCTGAGTGAAATAAGTCAATTGGAGGACAAACATTATATGGTCTCATTCATTTGGGGAATATAAAAAATAGTGAAAGAGATTAAAGGGGAAAAGAGAGAAATGAGTGGGAAATATCAGAGAGGGAGACAGAACATGAGAGACTCCTAACTCTGGGAAGCAAACAAGGGGTAGTGGAAGGGGAGGCAGGCGGGGGGTGTGGGTGACTGGGTGATGGGCACTGAGGGGGCACTTGGCAGGATGAGCACTGGGTGATATGCTATATGTTGGCAAATTGAACTCCAATAAAAATAAATAAATAATATCCTCGCTTAAATATCAAATTCATTCAGATACAGAAAAGATACAATAGAATTAGATATAAAATAAATGCAACATTTTTATATATGTTCTTATTTTTGTAATACAATAAATTTATGACCATAACCTCCAAAGAATCAAAATAAATTTTAGTGCATTGATATCTTTTATCTCTGACCCCATAACTGCACAAGATGAAAGAACTTGAGTTGCTACCACAGGTTTTTTCAAAAAGCACTGGTAATATACCACAGATTTACAAACCAAACACGAGTCCAAAAATAAACTTACTAGACTATTTCACATCAACTCAATAAACAAGAGAGTGAGATATTCTTCTTTCAGTGTTTATGAATAGGAACTGTGGTTAACAGCACAAGGAATTAAATCCTAAATAAGAAAAAAGCTCTTAATTTTATCAACTTCACAAATATGTCAAATGGAGCTTCAAACTAATATCACATGTAAATCAAATTTTAATAAGCCAGACCATATTTTTTTAAGTTCTTATTTTTTTAATAATCTCTACCCCCAACATGGGGGGCTCGAACTCATGACTCAAAAATCAAGAGTAGCACACTCCTGCAGCTGAGCCAGCCAGGTACCCTAACCAGACTAAGAAGATTCACTCTGCAAATGAAACTTTCCTGGGGCACCTGGGTGGCTGAGCAGGTTGGGCACCTGCTTTCAGCTCAGGTCCTGATCTCGGAGTCCTGGGATGGTGCCCCAAATCCAGGCCCCTGCTCAGCAGGGAGCCTGCTTCTCCCTCTCCATTTACCCTTTCCCCACACTCACGCTCGCTCTTTCTCTCAAATAAATTAAGAAAAATTCGAAAACAAAAAAACTTTCCTGATTTTTTTTCTTTTGGAATGTAAGTAATTTCATAACGTCAAATTTTGCCTTTGACTCCTCTAATTTGAAAAAACCCTGTCATTATCAACTCGTTCACTAAACACATTATTTCACATTTTCACATTATAGACTTCAACTTTTACCTTCCAATGAATAATTTCTGCTTCCATCTACAAAAATGACAATTGAACCTCTAACATATCAAACTCTGTGCTGTAACAAATTTGAGTCATATGAGGCTTTCATATATATATATAGAGAGAGAGAGATTTTAAGGCAACTAGAGTAACAATAATAGATACACCAATAATATCCATTGTAATTACAACTTGATTCAGTATAATTCACAAAATAATCTCCAGGGATCCTCTATTTAGATAAAGCACAATTTAATAAATAAAACTCCGATCATACAACGTGTCTAACAACAGTGCCCCTCTGTATCTCAGATAAAGCTGTGTACCTTCAGGATACCTTTATTAATACACAAAGGCCAGACGAATTAAAAGCCATCAACAAGTGATAGCATACCTGTGAGCAGAAGCGTTGTAGCATTTGTTGTCATACGAGACTAACAATAGGTGAAGAATCACAGATGGGTCTTACCAAGATCTTAAAATAGATATTATCTGGAATATTGGTTCTCAACCATTAAAATCACATTAAAATCGCTTCTGGGGATGTTTAAAAAAAATATGCTGATGTCGAGTTAATCAGAACTGGGGGAGGAGGTGTGTATCAGCAGGGTTTGTTTGTTTAAGTCCTCAGTTATTGGGGGCTCAGCGGCTTAGCACCTGCCTTCGGCCCAGGTCCCGATCCTGGAAACCTGGGATAGAGTCCCACATTCGGCTCCCTGCATGGAGCCTGCTTCTCCCTCTGCTTGTGTCTCTGCCTCTGTTTCTCATGAATAAATAAATAAAATCTTAAAAAAGAAAAAAGAAAAAAAAAGTCCTCAGTTATTCTACTATGTAGCCAGTAATGACGGTTACCAATAACACAGATTACAACAATCCTGAAAGTTATCACAAGACACTGAGATCAGTTCTCCCTTGCACATCTTCCCATAGGTCTAGAGTGGAGGGCAAGGATGAATCCCACGTATTTCAATTGATTTTTCTTTCTTTTCTTTTTTCTTTTTTTTTTTTTTTTTTAGATTTTATTATTTACTTATTCATGAGAGACACAGAGAGAAAGGCAGAGGGAGAAGCAGGTTCCGTGCAGGGAGCCCGATGTGGGACTCGACCCCAACCCCAGGTCTCCAGGATCACCCCCTGGGCCGAAAGCGGCGCTAAACCGCTGAGGCCCCTGGGATGCCCCCAACTGATTTCTTAATGAATCTGGAAGCATGTAAGCACACTAGAATTTGGAACCTGAAGCACAAGGCAATCCCCATATCCCAATGCCCAGCCACGCTGCTGCTGGGACGCGTCCCAAACGTGTGGACAGTCCGTACTCACGAGCGAGGAGGGGCCCGACTAACCAACACCACACGTCTGGTGATAGGAGGAGGGCAATAATGAAAACCAGAGCTAAAAAGGCAGTCACCCCTGGATCTGTCGGAGGGGAGGAGAACGGAGGGGGGAGGGGAGGGGAGGGGAGGGCTAGTGACGCCAGGAGGGGCGCAGAGGCCCAGCGAAGACGGCGGAGCGCGGCCGCCAGAACTCAGGGACGAACCCAGGGGAGGCCGCAGGTGGGGAACACAGCACGCAAGGCCCCTCACCTTCACCACGGCCGTCCCGCGGCCGCCCTGCCGGCCAGCGTCCAGTCCCGCTCCAGGCTTGTTTACAATCAGGGTAGCCATCCTACGCGGAGCGGCGCCGCAGAAGCAGCCGTCACGGCCTCCAACGGAGGGGCGGGGCCCAGCCGCCTACCCAGAGGCCTCCGCGCTCGCCGCCGGCGCACAGGCGCAGTAGGACGCGCGGAGCGCCGCGGGGCTGACCTTTGCCCCCCTCCTTCCGCCAGTCCCTACCTCTTCGGCGGCGCCGCCTCGTGTATTTGAATGCTTTGCTGTTTGTATTCTTATTCAAGATGCGGTCTGCATCTGCAACTAGCGGAAGGAATATGAATAAAGGAAATTTTTTAAAAAGGATAAAGCAAGAAGCAAAGTTTCGAGGGGAAGCCCCCACTTCGATCACCATCTCCGCCTAATGGCAGGCGAGACGCGGGATGGGGAGTGAACTACATCTCCCTGCATGCAATGCGGCTCTGCTTATAAACTACAAATCCCAGCATTGCAAAATCCTTCTCCGCCCCCCCCCCCCCTTCACTGCGCGATGCGCGTCTTTGGGACGCTGCGCGCTGTTACCGAGGAGTGGTTTCTTGAAATCGTGATGCGTGACTGCGGCTGGGAAATAGACAGGGATGTAATGGACAGGTGTCTAAGGAGCGAGGGATGGCTTCGGTGAAAGGAAGCCGCTGAGTCCGTCGGTGAAGGACGTGATAAAGAAGAGACTTGAAGGCGGCAGCAGCGCGGAGAACCCCGTGGGGAGCGAGGTGGAGCTTCGCGAACGTCGGCTCTTCCGTTCGCTTCCGGGCTGCGCTGAACCTGTGCGGCTGCCGTAGGCCGGGGGTCGGTAGCGCCGGTCAGGATGGAAGTGAATCCCCCCAAACAGGAGCACCTGCTGGCCCTGAAAGGTAGACTTTTACGCACCTGACTCCCTCTAGTCTGTTTTGTCCTCTTCTCTCGCTGGTTCTCGAAGTCGTTGCCACAAAGACCCGGTCCCGGGGACTCTGGCCTCGTCTTTTCCTTCGACGCTGTTAGTGGCCGCCTTCCTGCCCTGCCCTGGGGCGACGAGCGGAAGGAGGGGGTTCTTCTCCTTGGGGCTCTCAGGTCTGACGGCCTCTCCCTAGAGAGGAACGGATAACCTGGTAAATCACCGGAGGTGGTACTGCTGCACCTGCTAGGCTGCAGGGGGTGTCGTGGGGATGGGACAGTTCATGTCAACCTCCGTTTTCTGTGCATGGCAAGAAAACTTGTAGTAAATTTGATGATTTAGGGGAAAACCCACAGGGCGGAGTTTTTCTGGAATTCTTACTGTTTTCTGAAAGCCTTTTGCTTAAGATAGCTTCAGCTTTATTTTCTCTTCTGCTTCCACAAACGTGTTTTTTCTTTCTCTTTCTTTTCCTTCCTTCCTCCCTCCCTCCCTCCCTCTCTCCCTCCCTTCTTCTACTGTGTGGTCACCAATAAGTTCTTGGACTGAGCTGGGAAAAGGCTCAATAGATTACTTGAATTCAGTTAAGTTGCACTGACCTTCCTGGTTCCCAGTTGTGATGTGAGCATCAGACGTTCCAGAAGCTCACCAGTGCCATCCCTAACAAAATCAGATACTCCTAGCTGAGGATAATACGTTTATCTCTGGCTGTAGGATTAGAAAACGATATTAAACTTCCTTTTAAGTATTTATTTATTCATGAGACAGAGAGAGGCAGAGACACAGGCAGAGGGAGAAGCAGGCTCCATGCAGGGAGCCTGATGCAGGCGGGACTCGATCCCGGGTCCCTAGGATCACGCCCTGAGCCGAAGGCAGATGCTCAACCACTGAGCCACCCAGGGATCCCAGAAAACAACTGTATTAAATAATACAGCAATAGGATCTGGAAGCTCAGCCTGAGCAAATGAGCTAGACTGAAATGGGTTCTTCTATAGAAAAAGGGAAAGAAACTGTCTTTTTTTTCTTCTTCTTCTTAATCTCATGTGATGTATGTGGAATAGATTTTACTTACTATCTATCAGAAATTTAAGAGACTTTTTCAGGATCACAGAGCTAGCAAGCAATTGGAGGCAATATTTTAGCCCAAGGCCTTTATCTTTCCAGGACTCCATGTTGCCTCCTGATGGAGGAGGCCGCATTTTCAGAGAACATTTTCCCATTAACTACTTTGACAGGGAACCTGAAACAGTTCTCTTAGCTGCTGGGTATCAATATAAGCAAACTGAAAGCTATTAAACGCCAAGTTACATTGCAGTGATGTGGAAGCTAAGTGCCATTGGGTATTTTTAGTTTTCTATTATTCTTTATTTCCTGAAACAGAAGATCACCTGGGAAAGAGTATTTTAGCAGTCTAAGAGGACAAGTGCTGTGAAGTTCACTCATAGTTTCAGTTTTATTAAAGCTCCTCGGTATCATTGTTCCCCCTTGCTACTCAAGAATTTTCACAAGTTGTGGGGCACCTGCCTTGCTCAGTTGGTGGAGCATGTGTCTCTCCATCTTGGGGTAGTGAGTCCAAGCCTCACATTGGATGTAGAGGTTACTTTAAAAAATAAAAAAATTTACTGAAAAAAATAATTGTCACAGATTTTAATTTTACTAATTATTGGATGCCAAGTGTACCAATTTATATAGTCATTTAAGTTTCTTATATATGTAAAATACTAAGAAGCTCTCCGAACCTTATCATCCTTGGAATACAATGTTGAATAAGCTCTTTAAAAAAAAAAAAAAAGGAATTATCAGTGCCATATTTTACAATGTAAGGAAAAGGAAAGGAAAAAGTAAAAGTATTATTAATGCTTTTAAGAATATGCTCTCTGTGTTTATGTTCATATTAAAATTATGGATGGTAAGGATCACAGTCATTTATGAATTTAAGTTGTCACATCTGTTAGTGGACACTGACAATAGGTAAAAAGAATCATTATGCGATTAATTACTTCTGACTTTTCAGAATCAGTGGTCAATGAATACTGTTACATCATGACAGGAGTTCCCACCCATCATCATTCTAGCAATAGGCGAATCCCTTTGAAAGGTTCTCTAAGGATTTGTGGGAGAAGAAATACAACCTCTCATTTTTTTTTTTTTTTTCCCAACAGTATTTAGGATTTGAAAGGGCCTGCATCATGGCTCCTGCAGCTTTGGACTTGGTTAGGAAACCTACCTATATGCTGAAATTTATTATCAATGACTTCATTTGGGGCAACTTGAAGACTTTGTTGTTATGAGAGGGAAAAAAAACTGAGGTCTAGCCTTCCTCCTCCTCCTCCTCCTCCTCCTCCAAAGTGGAATTCAGGAGCCATGGTACCAAGGTCTTGATATTCTGAAAGTGCTCCATTTATACAAAGGAGACTGTCACAGACCCAGTTCCTAGCCTGGTTAAAATGCAGAGTTAAACTATTTTTATGTTATTAGTGTTTACAACTGCAAATGAAATAAAGTCATTAAGTATTCTGTCTCTGTATTTGGTAGAATTCATATAATTTTAAAGTATTAAATGATCATTTTTCTTAATGCATTAAAAATTACAATGATTTTCATTGTCCTCAATTCAGCTGTCTCAAATTTCTAAGTACCATAACATTTTTGTTATCTTCAGATGAATCTAGTATTCTAAGAATCACTAATTTACTCTGTTTTTTGCTATAGTCTTAAGATTATTATTACCTACTATGTTAATGATGGTAGTTCCAAGTCCTTTATATCTGTTAAGTTAGACACATCGACTACTGGCAGTGATCTTATAGGGCTGGCAGTGATCTTATAGGGCATCTAATCCAGATCCCTTATTTTGGTAAGATAAAGCATTTCCAGTTTTGTGGATTAAATTTGCATTTACCAACAGCACTTGGTAAAATGTCATATTGGGATTGGTTTTGTCTTTTCTTTTTCCCTATTTGTGTGTAGGCTGTCCCTACCATATCTTACTCTTTGCAATACTTCCACTTTAGGTCCTGTTTCCCTCTGATTTGGAAAGAGAGTCTTGTAATTATAAATTACATTCTAGCGCTGAGGAGCACATCTAAGAAATGTTCTCTTCATTAAGAGTAACTGGATTACTGCAGGATGACTACAGAAGTAATATTACATTATCGACCATATGAGAATGATCCCACACAACTGCTAAAAATTGCAGAGAAAGCAATTCAAGACTTTCCTACACGTCCACTATCGAGATTTATTCCTTGGTTTCTGCATGATGGGTCCAAACTTCCACTCAAACCTAAAAGATCACCACCTGTGATTTCTGAAGAGGCAGCTGAAGATGTGAAACAGTACTTAACCATTTCAGAACACGATGCTAAATCACAGAGTTATGATTGCACAGTAGATCTTTTGGAATTTCAACCTAATTTAAAAAAAAGGAAGCACTTAATCCGGTCACACTCACTGAATGAACAGACTAATTGTGGAAATCTAGATAAACAATCAGAGAAGGGAAGACAGCACAAGAAGAGGTTTTGGAGTGTTTCACTTCCCAACAGTAATTGTACTGAAAATATTTTTCCTTTGTCTAAGAAATTGCAAGATAGTTTAAAGGCACTGAATTTGCATTCACTTTACAGAGCAAGATGGACTATAGAGCACGCTATTTGTAACAACCAAACTCTGGAAGACATTTGGGCAAAACTCAATCAAATTATCAGGCACAATGAACTTCCATCTTGTAATGCAACCTTTCAGAGACACTTAGACCAAATATGGGTATTCTGTGATATTATGTACTGTGAATATGTGGGAAATCTTCTTAAAGGAAGGTTAGCTCTTACTGGGAAAATGAATTTATTCATGCATAAATACGGTGTTATTTTTAGTATGTAATGAATTTCACTGTCAAAAGAATATTCTGAATAAACTGAATATGATCTGAAATAGTGAGATCAATAAATTTTTATGGGTTTTTAAATTTTTCATTTGACCCTTCACTAATACATCCTATTCATTCTTAATATTGTAAAAAGTTGTGTGGTAATTTGTATACCGTTGTTTTCTAGAAATAAATGTTTATCAGATGAGTTCTTAGACTTATCTGTTAACTCAAGAGCTTTCTGGGTTATACTTTTAGTAGTCTTCCAAATGAATCTTGATAAATTACTTGTACCGAGTTTACAGGGAAAATGTTCATTCCTTTTGTCCTGTTACTTTTCCAGTGGTTGAATTAGATATTGCCGTGAATGATAGCAGATAGTTTGGATTTTGGTAAAGCCTCAAAATGTAACATTGTAGTGTTTTTATTTTTTTCCTTTAAAGCATAATGATTTTTTTTCAAAAAATAAAACCAATTCTCTTGCAAATGTTATTCAAGTAGCATGAACATAGTTCAAATTGGGAAACTAGACCAGACTCCACTGATGCTTCCAAAAATCTGTAACTGACAATTATTTGATGTGGAATTTTGAAACAAAAGTACAAAATGTATAATTTGCCATAGACCGTAATGTATCTTTAAGGATATAACTTATTTTGAAGGGAAATATCAAATGTAGATAAGAGATTCTTATTCTTTAATCTAGTACAAGTGTTTCAGCCTTATTGATGGTTAATGCTGATTACTAGTTGCCTGGTTCCTGTGAGTTTCCCGTAAGCAAAATGTTATAAATTGGGTTTACACTTCACGTCATAAAAATACCCAAAGTGATCATACAATAAAAGTTATATGTAAAAATGTATTTACTTAGCAAATTTAAATACCTACCATGAGATAGATGTTAGAATGTAGTATGGAAGGAGAGAAACATGGACTTTGTTCTTACAGAACTCATATGGAGTTATTCTCATTACAAGGTCAAACCAACTCCCTGGGAGAAAAAAAAAAAAAGTAAGACTGTAGTCTTTCTGGAACGAAGACACACATTTGTCTTGTGGTGCTTGATTCGGTAAGGGCTCAATAATACATGTACATGCCATCTGGAGAGATTC